CTCCAGCATTATGGCCCGGTAGTGCATCCCAAACCGTGCTTTCCAGTCTGTGTCTTTGGCAGCGTGACTTCTTCTGATGTTAGTTAATAGCGTCCATGACGTCCGTTCAGTGACGTCACCTGAGGAGCCGCCTGGCGGATGCCTGCGGTGCCGCACCAACCGGGGAGTCGCCTAACCTCACGTAACCGCCTTACCTCAGTGGCGCCTCACTAACGGCAGCTGTGTCCGCAGGCGGACGGCGGCCCGGCACCGCCCGAGAGCTCGGCGTCGGCTGTCTCCTCCTCCGAGTCCGGACAGGCTGAGCCGGCGGCGCCCGGCGGGCCGGCACCGGACGCCGCGGGCGGCGCCGCCTACACGGCGACCAGTGCGGAGCCGGCCGCGGCGCGCCCGCCGCCGCCGCCGCCGCCGCTGCCGGAGCAGATGGGGCCGTTCCAGCTGGAGGGCTCCGAGCCGACGGTGGCCGAGGCTGAGCAGCAACAGGTAACCCCGAGTCGCGGCGCAGGCCACCGCGCGGGCGTGCCGGCGCGCTGTGATGGGGCAGGGCCTGGAGTTGGGCCTATTCTGGCAAGAAGGTACTCGGGCTAAAAGAGCAGCTTGCTCCTTTTATTCCTTTTCTGTGGTTTTCGGTCTGATTGTGGTTTTGTATTTATATTCACTTATTGGCGTTTTTAAGCCAAAGTTCCGAAATTTTGTCCTCGATGACAGTGTGTGTTGAGGGTTACATCCCCTTCTTGAGTAGTATGTTGTCCCTACTCTGAGGTATACATTCAGCGTCGCTAGCCGTTGAGGGGATGTAGGAAGACGTGAAGGCTAGCGGCCAGCCCTCTGACGCCATCTCACTTGCGATGGTGCCATCTCACTCTGAATCCATCTCTCTTGCGCCACCTAACCCCGCGCTACGCAGCCCGCGCAGCAGGTGGAGCAGAAGCAGGTGCGCGTGCGGCAGCTGGTGCGGCAGCACACGCACGCCGACGGCAGCATCACAGAGGAGATCATCTCCGAGCAGATACTGCAGGTGAGGGATGCGTCGCAGTCGGACGGCGCCCCCTCCCCCTCCCCCTCCTCCCCTTGGACGTGTACCGCAAACAAGCCATCGCCAGAGGGCATCGGCTGCGCTTTGCGAAGCGGCTGCGTCAGAGTCGAGGGTGCATAGACGGGTGTGCAGGCAGTAGAATATCTGTTATTCTCGAGCCCTGATTGAGCGGAGTCTGGTCGAATATGAGATGCGTGAATTTGTACCGTCCTTGGCGTGCAGAAACAACCACGGTGTGTGACGCCGTGGCCTTATATCATGATTGAAGGACACATACTTTGGTTTGTCTGACAGTCCCGTGTCATTTTGGCTAGAGACATGTAGGTTTTCAGGCGGTGGAGTCACGTATGCCAGTGCCGAAGCGTTCACAGCGTAGCCACGCACGCCAATCAATGAACAGCTATGCATCATGCCAGTGCGGAAACTCTGTTTAAAGGTGGTGTTGGACTAAGGGCTACGGCTCTGTTGATATGTATTCATATATATATATATATATATATATATATATATATATATATATATATATATATATATATATTCACGCCACTGCGGGCGGGTCGACAATTTGTACGTGGAATGACAGTCAGACTGTTGGTCGGACATGCTTCCTTACATTGATCAACGTTGCCGACAAGCTGTGTATATTTTGCAGGAAGGAGACGAGGGCTACGATCAGCTGGGGAAAGGTAGGTACCATGAGGCCTCCATATTTGGTTTAAATGCCCCCGGCGGGATCGCTGAAAGTGAATGAGATTGGGTAACAAAAGTGTCACCACCGGTGCGGATTGGGCCCATGGCTCTTGCTGGGGAATCTGTGGGAATCTGTGGGAATCTGGGGAATCTGGGGAATATGGGGAATCTGGGGAATCGCAGCGTTGACACCTCCTGCACCCATGCGCATGCATGCACTGTGTATTGACGTGCAAACGCTGCAGATATGAGTTAACACACTGCACATGGTGTCAGTTTATATTGTACCTTAGCTCTTTGGAATTTACTAAACATTAGTTCAGCTTTATTGGAACTGTAGCGTTAAGCATGCACACATGGAGGATTTGGCTCACTGCCAGGCTGTCGCAGCACGCTCCGAACGTATCGCTATCGATAATTTTTGTTCACACACGGGCTTTAGAAGGTTAAGGGGCAGTACACAAGGCGCCATGAATCCCGCTTTTGCAGAACTTCAACATTCACGCCATGTTTTTGCATGCCGAGAGAGGATCTGAAAACGGGCTCGCCCCTTTTGACGTTCGTAAGTTCCGCCACTGCGCAGAAACGAGACGAAACGAAACCAGGCCAACTGATTGGTCGCCTGACCGGGTGGGCTGCGCCTTTCAGAGCCCGTGGTGGTGTCTGAGGACGTACAGATGACGACCGCCGGCGGGTAGAGGGTACCTCCCGGACCGTGGCGGACCACGTGGACCGCGTGGACCACGTGGACCAGGCGGCGAGCCAGACCGCCGCCCGGCTGAGACCACGTGTGCCGGGAGACGGGTCAGCTGCCGGTGAGGTGTCAGTGACCGTCCTCAACCTGCGCGGGCGCCCTGCGCCGGCCCGAGAGCAGCCGCGGATCGTGCGGCACCCGAGTGGATTGCCGTGATCTCTGCCAGGCGTGGGCCGACTCGGCTCGCGCTGCTGCCAAAGCGTTTGCGACGGAACTTGGGAGCGCGTGACACCGGGAGCTGACGGCTGGCGGCTGGCTGCACGCTCGGAGGCCATCGTCAGCAATCCCATGAGCGGTGCGTTAGTGTGACGGGCTGCCTCGCCTTGCAGACGCCTTGTGACATTTCCCAGAGACGATTTACGGAGGCGCTTTGACGATGTTGCGTGACTATGCAATTCGGAGAACGTTCTCTTATTTCATCGTAATATGTTTCGTACTTTGATTGCATCGGTCTCAAAACGCAAAACGACCGCGAGGTTGGTGGGTTGAGAACCGGCGCGGCTCGCGCTGGTTATGTTACCTTTGTCAGATTATCTGTTCATGCGTCCTGCAATATGACAGAACAGGGTATAGGGTACCGGAACACGTGAACGAAATATATCGTCCGCCATTCGTCACCGATGCGTATTTGTCTGCGAAGCTGCAGATCCAAAATTGTGAACTGCACCGTTTGCAAACAGAACCGCCAGTCCGCGAAATTGTGCACACTGATTCGATGCGTTTCCGTTTGCCATATTTACGGATTGAGGGTATGTATCCTATCGAAACGATGATTAAAGTATCGGTTTAAAGTGTGTGAATGACTTCTGCAGCCGACAGTGGAGACTCGCTGGATTTTGGGTAATACCAATGCGCCGGTAATCTCGTTAAGATACTGATTTGATCCTCGCACTCAGTCAAACACATTTATTCCGCTATATTGCGCGGCAGTATTTTATCCTGCATAGCTCCACTTCGGACAGGGAAACATTGCATATACATCTATCGCGTTCGGGAAGTATATTTACACTATTCACAACAGGACAGCGGAAAAGAACAGGCGTCAAATTTACAAGCTTTCCTTCCCCCACTCGTCACATCCGGAACAGAAATAAAAAGTGATTCACTCTTAGCAGCACCGGACACCCAAAGTCACCAGCTAATTCCCCATGGAAACCATCACTGACACGAACAGCGATTCGGAAACAGGTCAGAGGGTGCCGCAGCACACAGAAAACGCACCGTTGAGCTTGAAAACAGTCCATCCACGCAGACCATACGCGACATTTACCGACTTCACAGTCACTCCGTGTCTTCCTGCTGCACCCGCGGGTGTAAATGTGCCCCAAATCGTAAGTCGAAGACGTTTTACACTCCTTTGTGCTTGTAAACACGAGCAAAATGATTTCAGCTAATGGACGCCATCAATTTTGAGAATGTGTCGTAAGACACGTGTCGTATTTGTCTAGAAGAACCCTCCCAGTTACCTGTTTTGCATCTCATACTGTGAGACGACGAACGACATTTCTTCCTGATAGACACCCACAGCCTACGCACTTTGGGGCGACGGTGCACCGAGGAGCCCCTCTCTTTACAGGGGCGCGGCCTCTGTGCCCTCACCACCGCACGGATGCACGGACGGTTCAGAGTGACCACATCGTCCATCTATCCTCTGAAAGACGGCATGTGTCTGTACAATTAAATACGCTCCGGGTATGTACATGCGGGCGGCAACGCGGCCTGTGCTTCACTCCTGCCCTTGAGATGCGCGGTAACTCTGTTCTTTACTAGCTCCTCGTGACTTTAGGTTGATAAGGTTTTAGGTAAGCTGATGGAGTTTTTATGTTTGACAAAAGCAGCCATAAAAGCTCGTAAGCTTAATCTGACGGATGTATGGCTATGCGGACGCCAAACGACGAACCAAATTTCGTTTCGGCCTGGTGATAACGTCCATGAATTAGGCCTATCACAATGACTTCAGTTCGGAAAGGCCGCTATAGGAACGGCACACTCAACTCTAAGCGTCATAAAAGAGAACAAACTGAACGTCCAAAACTCTGCAAAAACCATGCTAGCAAACGCCTTTACTGTTTCGTTGAAAGCAAGTTGCCATAGCTTTAGATGGTTCATATCTCAGCTGAACCCATCGTAGGCTGTTTACCACCTACCGACGCCGGCGGCTGGGGCAACGAAAAGGAGAAAGAAACTCAGACTAGTCCAATCGTGCTTCGTTCCTGTGCCGTAACATTTGAGTCCTCTGTATCGATGCTCCCCCCCCCTCCCCCCTCCCCCACCTCCGCCGACTTAGACACCTCCGCACGATCACTCGTGCCTCCTCCAGAACTGAGCCTCGCTCGGGTCGACCCCCAACAGCTAGATCGGCACAGCCGGGCCCGTCGCGTGAGAACGCACCGCTCCGGCCTGCCGGCAGCGGCAGCGCGTGACCCGCGACTCCTACGGTCTTGCCGGGGGGGCCTGCCGCGACGGCCGCCGCCACTGGCCGGTCTACTTCCGCTGGTGCACGCCGGCGCCGGCTACGTCCATCCAGAGCGAGAGGTCCAGCCGCGGCAGGGTGGCGCACGAGACCACCGGGTTACTGGAACGACAGAGCGGGGGGGGGGGGGGGGCGTGTCACACGCGCATGCGCACTGGGCAAAGGCACTCATATGAAACTGGTGAACTCCAGACCGCATCGAATTTCGGTGCCTATTCTTATGTGATCAGGAAGGGTAGTGGGAACTTTTTCTTCGTTGTTTCTTCTGTTGCCTTCCTGTCGTGGACGTTTTTGCTCACTTCGCGAATGACAGCCGACATTAACTGCCTTGATCCACTCGGTTACGTTGCGTGGACACTACCCGATCCATCTCCAGCCAGTGCTCACGGGCTCGACGAGTGAAGCCCGGTAAGATACACAAACCTGCCGCCGGTACTCGCATATCGGTATCGGGGAGCACCATCAGGTACACCTGCGGCTTCTTCGATCCTGTCTGAGTTCTGGACGCGGGAAGCCCGGATAAGATACACAAACCTGCTGCCGGCACTCACATCTTGGGGTCGGGGAGCACCATCAGGTACACCTGCAGCTTCTCGATGCCGTCCGAGTTGTCGCAGATGATGTTACTCAGCTTCACCTGATGAATTGCGTCAATTTGTTCTGCAAAGAGCGCAGGCGTCAGCACCACGAGTTTGGGATTGGCGTGCCAGTGTGCTGTGCTGCAGTACAATCACGGACCCAACTAATGGCGGCACCGAAGTACCGAACAAAGCGGCTGAAAGAACCGCGACTTGTACTGCCGGGTTGCATAGCGGGAACAGGCCGTCATACGAGAAACAAGACGAGAGTACCAGTGCCGAAAGAGAAACAAGAATGCCAGACGAGAAACGAGGGAAGAGTCGGACGGACCAAGGTGCGTGCGTTACGTTCTCCGGTTATCTTCAGTAACCCGTTATAACTGGCGTGAGAGAATGTCACGCTGCTATCGGTAACAGCACACGCGTTATCGGAACACCTCTTAGCTGACACGGCGCCTCGCGAGAGATCAAAACAGCCCAGCCTTCTCCCCCCTCAGCCCCGCAGCCGAAGCTGTCACCGGCGGGCCGCTCTGGCGCTGCCCCCCCCCCCCCCCCCTCCCTTCGCCTGCGGGCCGGGCGTTGTTGTACCCGGCGTGAAGGAGCTGGGCAAGCCCTGGTTCTCAAACCAGAAGCGGTCGCCCTCCTTCAGCACGCGGAACTGCTGCTCGGCGATGAGGCAGGCCAGCGTGGGGCCGACCATGGAGCCATCCAGCGGCTTCTCGGAGACGACGCCAGACCAGAGGTCCATGTCGTCCGGGTGCCTGTCGGTGGAGGGCACGTCACCACGGCTGGCGCGACTGCCGCGCGCTGGCGGACAGGCCGGGTACTACCGACGCGTCAGGTGGCGGACAGAGCGTGTCACAGGCTGCCGAGAGCTGCCAGGGGATCGGACATGTTGTTGAAGAGAACAAAGGGCTGTTTTCAGAGGCAAGTACATGGTGTCGAACGGTTCCATGGGCTCTTTCCAGAGGTTAGTTGCGTCTTCGAAGAGCACAAAGGGTTTGTTTCGATAGGCTAGTACGCGTTGTGTTGGACGGTACCAAGGGCTGCCAGGTGCTGCCCTGCCGCCAGATTGGGCGCCAGCGCGACCATCATTAGACCTGGACGGCGGCGGAACACTGACAAGTTCTCTCAGCCGTGATGGGTGGTAGAAATAGACGGCCGAAGGCAGGAAACTGGCATAGAATGTGAAATGTGGAATGGAATGTGGGATGGAATTGAGTGTGGATTAGCGAGCACGCGCGCTGGTGAGACCTGTCGGAAGTTCCGGCTCCACCAGCGTTTAGCGTGTCAGGTCCTCATGCACCGGAACACACGAACGGCCATCGCGCCACCCAGCACACACGCACCGTCGAGGCCGCCCGCCAGGTCCTCTCACCCGTAAACGTCGCTGTAGGCGGAGGCCGTGTTGTTGCTCATGACGGTATTCAGCTCGAAGAAGTCGGTGACGCGCGGCAGGCCGCAGAACTCGCGGAAGCCGTTGTAGCTGGGCAGGCCGTGCTCGCGGCCTCGCTGCATGTTGATCGCCGCTAGATCCATTCCGAACCGGTGCTCGGGCATTTGGAACAGGTGGTTCGTGACCTGTCGACGTACGGTGGCACGGGCTAGGGCTGGGCCGACGAAGTTAACGGTGGTGGAACGCCTGAACGCATCACATGAATGCGATCGCGATAACGTTTACTGAAGTGATTAAATGCATTATAAAGATAGACTCTTACTCTTAGGGGATATCTAAGGTTGCAACGTAAGTTATTAACGTTCATCGTATATGTCATATCGGCTGTTTTATCTGAGTCTCAAACGGACTTTATCCGACCCGAACAGTCGGAAATACGCAAATATATCATTTCATAATGCCCTGCTCCGTACGCCAACATGAATCGTAACTTCAAGGGCTTTGGTCCATCTTTGAAAATGGTTTCAATTAGTTTATTTTTCTACCATCGTATTCGTTCGACTCAAAATACGAGAAATAAATAGGTTGAAAGCTTTTTGGAATCAGGGTAATTCCGCAAACAAAACTATGCATGAATTAATTAAAATTATCACCAAATCACATCCACACACGTGACTCAGTAATTATTGTGGACATCCGGCATGCTGGCACAATTCCGACAGGTTTTTGTGCAACCTCGCCCCACAACAGCCGACGGACGTCTTGCAGCGCCACATCGCTCTGTTTGGTTTTTTGCCATGGGTGGGTTGAGAGCCATGTTTTCCATCAGTGACACAGAGAGCGGGTCAGCTTCCCTTCCGCCTGACAAAAGGCCCGCCGGTCCCACAGCGCCACGCGCTGCCCGATGAATGGCCGGTACATTTTGCGAGGGGCCAGGCCGGTTCTTGTCCATGGCTGGAACCGGCCCGACCTGCTCCGCGTTCATACAGCCGTGCTCGTGAAACCGCGCGACGCGCCGTCGCTCGGGGAACAGCCTCGCGACGCTGCTCTTACGTCCTGCTGGTGACGTCACCTGACGCCCTGCCCCCTCTGACGTCGCACCCGCCTGTCACCCTCGGCGCGGCACTCACCTCCTGCGTGACGGCGTCGTCCATGGCCTGCGCGAGCTGGTTGATGAGGCCCATGGTGTACTGGTCCACGAAGCCGCCCTTGTACATGTCGTACGGTTGACGGAGCAGCTCGCTCAACCGGCGGGCGTCTGACGTCGGGTCAGGGGTCAGGGGTCAGGGGGTCAGGATCGGGGTCACAGTTGTCATGCACGGATGACGTACGGTACACGGCAGCCTGTTATAGTACATGAGTGACTGGCTGTGTAGCTCGGTGGAAGAAATGTCCCAGCCAACTGCAGATGGCTGGGTATTCTCGGGTCACGGGCCCTCGGTCCGCATGCGCACCGGGCGTAGAGCGAAAGGCACGACGCACGCGCGGATCCGGCGGTTTGAGAATCACAAACTGAGCTGCGCGCCAGCGGCGGCAGGTGACCAAGGCTTTGGCAAGAGGATGAGGCCATCAGGGGGCCATTCAGGCATTTAGGAGACCACCAGGGTTAGCAGATGGTAACTCAAAATCGTCATTAGGTGACTGGACTTGAACGGCGGCCATTTCATCCGTTGCCCTTCACTCACTACACGGTCCTGTCAGATCAATGATAGGGCAGGTCAATTATAAGTCGTGTCAGAGACACGATCTGTGGTAGGTAGGCTGCAAGATAACAAACGATCGTCGCGAACGAAAGCCGTGCACGTCAGCACGCGCTGTGACAGCACTTCCACCGTCACGGTCCGGGCAGCGCCGGCGACCTTCGTGCAGTAACCGTTATGTCACTCGCGCGGTCCACCTGGCGCATTAGCAAGTGCACGCAATAGCGCCATTGACGTTCCGCTAGCGAATCGAGCAGGATACGCCTTCCAGAATGCGCCGTTTTCAATCTGTTCCTTCTGCCTGTGTCTGACTGTGTGTGTTTACGAGTGAGACCTGTGGTTAAGCGGACATAACCACGCGGGTGTTTGCATACTTGCGGCGACGGCGTTACTGAAAGCGTGAAGAGACATTACGACATTGGTTATGAGAGCGATGATGCGAGCGAGGGAGATGAAAAAAGAAAGCAGCAGCAGCAGGGAGAGAAAGGAAGAGCGGAGCAAAGGAGATGAGAGGCAGATGGGGATAATGGGACGACAGAAAAGAGAAGATAGAAGCGGAGGGAGGAGGACAGAAGAGACAGGGAGTGAGGAAACGTAGAGAGAGAGAGAGAGAGAGAGAGAGAGAGAGAGAGCTCTCTCTCTCTCTCTCTCTCTCTCTCTCTCTCTCTCTCTC